TTTTTTCAGGCACAATATTTTGAAGAAATGAAGGTTCAAGCAAGAGAGAGAGGGAAGATGAACAAGGGTATTGTGATCTGAAGAAATGGGGCTTTTCGTACAAACCTTGGTTTTTGGCGGGACTATTCAAAAGTCGCGAGGTACGAGGGCGGCGTGACAGCTGCATTGGGCCAATAAGGGACTGCCACGTGTGTAAGGAATGGAAATCGATTCAGTTATAGAGACTGAAGAGACGTTTTGACTAGACAGATTGGTAGCACGATGTGAATTTAGCTCGGTTGGAAGGCTAAAGTTTTTTAGCTCGTTCGGAAGGCTAAAGCTTTTTTTAGCTCGGTTGGTAACAGGTAATCCCTATCATGCTGCGCAAATGGAATTAATGGGCAATTGAGAGGGTAATTTATGTGTAAATTGGGCCGAGGTGGGTAATTGGCCATTCTGTGGACCACAGTAAGAAGGGCTGAGGAAAAGGGCCTAGAAGTTAGCCCGGTCCAAGAAAGCTCTGCAGTTAGCTCAGTCACCACACTCAGAACGGCAACAGTTTGCTCGGCCATACCATATTGAGCCGAAGTATGTTGAGCTTTCCTCAGAACCTTGCTCTTGGTTAGCTTGGTCCAAGCTCGATGAGATTAGTGCGGTCTCAAAAAACCAAGTTGGAATATATCAAACTAAGATATACGCAGTGAAAGGAAGAACCGAGCTAGTGGGAGCCCGGTCTAGTCTGCGGCTTTAGCATGGCCATGTTATCTCGGTCGTATTGACATCCAACCGTGGTAAAATCATCTCACTTGGTTTAAGCATTAGGGGGGTGTTGAAGGATGAGCATTATCTTTCAGGAAGGTGATTCCTAGGAGGACTCTACATGGAGGAGTAAGAGTCGTATTCCTCAGAACCTTGCTCTTGGTTAGCTTGGTCCAAGCTCGATGAGATTAGTGCGGTCTCAAACAACCAAGTTGGAATATGTCAAACTAAGGTATACACAGTGAAAGGAAGAACCGAGCTAGTGGGAGCCCGGTCTAGTCTGCGGCTTTAGCATGGCCATGTTATCTCGGTCGTATTGACATCCAACCGTGGTAAAACCATCTCACTTGGTTTAAGCATTAGGGGGGTGTTAAAGGATGAGCATTATCTTTCAGGAAGGTGATTCCTAGGAGGACTCTACATGGAGGAGTAAGAGTCCTACTTGGATTGTGCCACGTGGAACCTATAAAAGCTCACAACATCACCTATGGAGAGGTAATACAACTTTGATTCCCGAATACACGGAGCTTTTGTCTACTTGTCTATTTTGCTGACTTAGGCATCGGAGAGGTATCCGGCACACACCCGCCGGCTAGTTCACGTTTGTGTTTTCAGGGAGTAAAGCGACGACGTTTGGAGGAGTGCAGACTTGATCAATAGGATTATACGAGAGGATTATTTCTTACTCGTACAGAGCACAACAACAAAAAATTGAATGAGAAAGAAATTCGGGCCTCTCGAGCCAATGACGATTAGAGCTATGTAGCGGAGTTGAAAATTATAACACATCATTAAATATAAAATAAATGGTTTATAACTACATTGTTACTATGAGTTTTATAATTTTTGTTAATTATTTTTAATTCAAAATCAAGATTATTGATGTGAGCCTTTTGTGGCTATTGCAAATAAAATGTTGAACCAATTTCAAATTCACAAAAAACTACATGGGAGAAGACCATGAACTCAAAGAAAAGTAAATAGCAAAGTTTATATATATCTATTTATTTATTTATTATTTAATATGTAGCATTGATTGATAGTTCCTAAAAAAATAAAATTCAAATATTTTAGAATAAATTACATTTATTTTCTTTGATGAAAAAAATACAATTAACTTTACTTTTTCTTTTTTCTTTTTTTGTAGTATTTTAGTGCAGTAAAAAATTATTTTGTACAAATTTACTATATTACTTTAGTAGTATTTATTATACTAAAATAACTCAAATGCTCTAACAATATCATATGTTTTGTAATATTTTTTTTCTTTTCATATGCCTATCACCAGTATTCTTCCATCACTATTCTTATTAATAATGTTTCAATTCAATGATTTAAGTCAAAATCACAAAATAAATAAATGAGCTTGTGTATATGTGTAATTTTTATCTCTTTTCATTAACTTAGCTTAATTTATTTGCCAAATCGTACAATTTAGACCATGCGTAAATGTCAAAGTCAAGTTCAAATAAACAAACTAGATCTCCAATTGATAAATTGTGAGCCACTATATTGGATTTGATTTTTAATCTAAAAGTAGATAAGTACTCTTTATATGAACAGCACTATATTATTATTATTATTATTATTATTGAGGAATAACAACACTATATTATTGAATGAACAATAGAGTTGAAATTGTGAGAAAGTGGTTTTGGAATACTTTTTCAATCCAAACAAGTCCTTGAAAGATTTTCCCACCTATCACCTAAAACAAAAATAAAACTTCAGTTGGTGGTGCCGAAATTAACACTCCGACGAGTAAATTAGTTTTTTATTAAAAAAGTAATTTTTTTAGTTTCTTAGGATACAAGTTTTTTTAGCAAATACATTTTTCTCTCATCCCTCATCTCTTTTATAAAGATTTTCCTCCTTTGTAGTTTAGGCCTTCATCATCACTTTTCTCAAAGGCCTATCTCTGTACTATACTCTTTAGAGAGGGATAGCCTGAATTCGTCTAACATAGTCTAGCTGATTTATCCAATATACTCGGCTCAATCGTGTAACCCAGGTACTCTTGACTCGGCGTGTTCTTCATCATACTTTTGTGTCTATTCGACAATGACTTTGAGTTCAGTGGGCCTTAGTCTTGTTTGGCCCATCTAAGATGGGTTTGGTTGTATGCTGTTAGCCATTTTAAATTTTATCACCTAAAACAAAAATAAAACTTCAGTTGGTGGTGCCGAAATTAACACTCCGACGAGTAAATTAGTTTTTTATTAAAAAAGTAATTTTTTTAGTTTCTTAGGATACAAGTTTTTTTAGCAAATACATTTTTCTCTCATCCCTCATCTCTTTTATAAAGATTTTCCTCCTTTGTAGTTTAGGCCTTCATCATCACTTTTCTCAAAGGCCTATCTCTGTACTATACTCTTTAGAGAGGGATAGCTTGAATTCGTCTAACATAGTCTAGCTGATTTATCCAATATACTCGGCTCAATCGTGTAACCCAGGTACTCTTGACTCGGCATGTTCTTCATCATACTTTTGTGTCTATTCGATAATGACTTTGAGTTCAGTGGGCCTTAGTCTAGTTTGGCCCATCTAAGATGGGTTTGGTTGTATGCTGTTAGCCATTTTAAGTTTATTTTTACTCGTCTCCCACAGAAATCACATCATTCATTATTTGGCAAAAACAAAAAATTACATTTTACTTTGCAATATATAATTATAATAAAGTAAACAAAAATGTCAAGGGTTGGTTTGGGAAGTGGGTTAGCTTTTTGATTTTTTAATTTTTTTAGTTATTTTAGCCTAAGCTAAAAAGTTTGGTTTGGGAAGGACTTTTTTGTCTTTTTTTGACTTTTTTTGTGAGAGAAGAGTGTAATGATTATGGATTGGATGTGATGTTTTGTTTGTTATGGCTAAAATAGTCTATTTTGTCTTTTGTGGTTAAAATAGCCAAAAAAGCCCACAAAATCACTTCCCAAACGGTGCCCAAGTTTTCAATTTTTATTTTATTTTATTTTGAATAATGTTATGGTAATTAAATTTAGAGACAAATTATGGGTAACTTGTATATGTCATTGATATATTAAAGAGTCTTATAAACAAGTGTGCATAGATAAAAATAAATAAATAAATAAATAAAAAAGGACAAAAAATTAAACAATACAAAATAATTTTTAGCAAAAATTACAAAATAAATCCTAGGGTTTGAGCCATTTAATAAAAGAAATCCTAAGTTTTAATTTTGTCAATTAAAACTTTAACTTTTTGATTTATTTTTAATTTAAACTATTTGTTTATTTCATTAAGTTAAACAGAAAAAATAATATTTTAATTATTAAACTCAATAAAAAAAATTAATATTTTAGACATTTTCTGTATACCTACATTTATAATAACTAAAATATTATTTTTCAGTCAATTTCATTTAATAAAAATAAATAAATAATTTAGATTGAAAATAACTAAAATGATTAGGATTTAGGAAAATTTACCCATAAGTCCTAGTTTTTGAAACGTTGAACCATTTAGTCCTAAAAGTTTTCTTATGCTCCATTTAGTCCCATTTTTACATCAACATGATGTGAATGATGTAAATGATCTGATGTTTCATTCTATAATTTCAAAATTTATTGAAATCTGATGAACATTGGATATTTTTCATCCTATATTTTCAAACATTATTGAAATTTGATGAACATTAGATGTTTGAAATCCAATGTTTGTAACATGACTCTGATGTTATTAACATTGTAATGGGACCTTTCAGTCTATAAGAAAACTTTTAGGACTAAACAGTGCATAAGTTATTAATTTGGGATTTATTGGTGCATCCCCCTAGGATTTAAATTGACAAAATTAAAAATTCATAATTTATTTTGTCATAAGGTTCATTAGTTATTATTTTATTTTATTTTAATAATTTATCTTAATTTTTATTAATTTCAAAACAATTTCATTAAATTAAATTTTATTTTTATTTTTCATAAAAATTAAACACTTTTTATACAGTATTTTTCTTCTATAAAAATAATTTATCACTTGAATGAAACAAATTTTCTTTTCCTTTCACTTGGAAAAAACACTACCAGCTACTAGCAAGCTAATACAAACAAGTTAATCAAACCAAACAAAAAAATACAAATAAATTACCCATTTGACAATTCTACCCTTACAAAGAAACAAAATGAAAGAACCCAACATTGGTAATTTTCGTAATTTATTCTTTTACGGAGGCTCAATTATTATTCTTTTTTTCCCTCCTCTCAAGGCCCCAAATCAAGAAACCCTAAAATCCAAAAACCCGCAAATACTGACAGATAATATATACAGAGAGAGAGTAGAGAGAGAGAGAAGAGCTAGAGAGAGAGAGAGAGAGGTTTTCGCCGTAAATGGTGTTAGAAAGCATTGCAAGAGCGAACCAGAGACTTTGAACAGTCGTTTAGGTCTTTTTGGAATCACTTTTTGACTGTTGAAAAGTGATTCTGAGTTCATCTTTCTTCGCCTGTAAGTTCTCTTTTCTTACATTTGAAGTTCTATTTCTGTTTTTGTTTCAGCTTATACGGTTACAATGTTGAATTGAGCTTCATTTTCTGTGTTTTCGGTGTTGGGTTTTTTTGTATGAATGTTGAATTGAGCTTAATTTTCTGTGTTCTTGGTGTTTTTAATTTTATTATTTTTTTTAAAAGATATACAGATATAGATAGAGATGGAGAGTGAAGAGGTTATGGTGGGTTTGATAGATGTGGGTAGTGTTGTCACTTCAATTAGTGATGGATTAGAGCAAGAGGTCAGTAGTGTTAGAGAAAATGAGAACTTGGGTGTTGACCTTTTGGAGGGTTTGGATTCCTATTTGGACGATATTAATGACCGGTTGACTATTTCGAGGATGGTTAGTGACTCTGTTATCAAGGGGATGGTGAAAGCGGTTGAACGAGTGGCGGACGAGAAAATTGCTGCCAAAGAATTGGAGGTGGCCAGTCTGAAGGAGAGATTGCATTTTCACAAATTGAGTGCTGATGAAAGTGTGTCATCAGGATCCCCAATGGCACACCGAGAGCAAAGAAGTTTGGAAAATGGGTTGTATTGTAGCTTTCCTGATGCTGTAGTGGAGCATGATAAGATGAGGGAATCTTTATGCAGCCTAAGAAGTGTGGCCATGGACCAGATTAAGAAGCTCAAGAAAGATATTGATAGCATAAGAGGGTGTAGTTCAATGAGAAAGATTGGTTCTGGTTCAGAATTGGTGGGATTGGGTGGAATTCTTCCAATGGAGGCATCTGAAAGCTTGGTGGGTGTAGATAAAAGACTCAATACTCTGAAAACTACAGTGGATACTATCTGTACACAGGCAGATGATATGGTTCACTTGGCTAAGGCATCACTTTGTGAGTGTCAGCAGGAGCAGGAGTTTCAGAGGGAGGTTGAAACAATGGTAATACGGAGTTCAATTATGAGTATCCACGACGAGTTTGAAGATAAATTACGGGATCAAAATGCTCATCTTTGTGGCAGCCAAAGCATGAACTGGCTTGAAAGGATCAATGAGGTTTCAAATTTACGCAAGGAATTAGATGTGATCTTGAAGTCACTATCCAATGCTGAAACTGGACAGTTAATTTCTCATGGATCTCATGACATGGATCATTTTCACCACAAAGCTTTGAGCAATCATGTTTTGCCATCAACTTCGATTTTGGATGGAAATGGCAAACTTGAAGAGTCTAAAAATGGTATGCCTGATAACTGGGATGCTGCCCAATTAAAGCATATGTCAAAGGATGAATTGGTGAATTATTTTAATTCTATGATAACAAAGATGAGGAGGAACCATGAATCTAAGGTACAAGAATTGACTGAAGTTTATTTCGGTCTTAAGCGGGATTACTTAAAAATGAAAGAGAAGGGAAAAATAAAAGAGAAGGGATCTTCTTTGCCACTTCAGAAGGATACAGATTTGGACATATTGAGGAAGAAGATCCCCGAGGTCATTTTGAAATTGGATGACATCCTTGTGGAAAATGAAAAAATTGCTACATTGAGCAACAATGTCGAGTCTCTTGGCAACTTAAAGGATAGGCTCAATGGCCTTCTTTCAGAAAATCGCCAACTCAAGGAGTCGCTTGCATATAAACGAAAGGAAGTGAAGTGTCTATCATCACAAGCTTCTGATGCTTCTGACCGGATGTCGCACCATGCTTCGAAAGAAGCAAATTTGCTAAAATTGATAAGTAATCTTAAAGCTGATGCGAAAGATGCAGAGATAGAAGCTTTGGTCTCTGAGGAGGTATATAAATGTGTTCTGAGGGAGGTAACTGCCCAGATCAACCGTGACACAGAAGAGTTAGCGTTGCAATCTATTGCCATGCAAGAGGTCTATGAAATCATTTATAGAGAAGCTTCTCAAGATGCTGAAGCTACCAGCAAGAGTGAAATTGGAGATTCAGATATTGAATCCTTGGTCATGCAAGGACTGTGCGGAGTTATTTTCAAGGAAGCTATTAAGGATGCCCAGTCACAAATTAATAACTTGTACAGAAAGTACTTGCATGAAAATGAAATTCGAGTTTCCCTTGAACTGAAAAATGAAGAGGAATCAAGATTGATGATTGAAGAGAACAACAATTTAAAAGACCAGGCAAGTTTGCTGCAAACATTAGTTTCTGAGAGAAGCAAGGAATTAGATTTAACAAAGGGTGAGTTGGAAGAGGTGCTGGAGCAAATTGATGTTGATAAGGTGGAAATGAACAAATTGAATCAGAAGCTTGAACTAAAGACAAATGAGTTTAGGGAAGCTGATGAACAGAGAAATTGGCTTATGGCTGTTATCCAGGAGAAGCAAAATGCTATATTATTGCTTGGAGTGAAAGAAAATGAACAGAGTAAGCAAATGCAAGAAATAATCGTTCTTGTCCATGGACTTTCAAAAGCATTTTCTGATTTTGAACGTCAAGCAGCTGAGGGTATCGAAAAGAATAATTTAAGGTAATTACAGTTACTAATAGACTTTTTATTTTTAAACTTTGAATATTTCAAATAAATCTGAATTATATGCATTCTTAAGGTTTGCACTGCCTTGAACTTGAGACTGGTTTATGTGCCTGTAATTTTATAAAATCCGCATGTTTGGGCCAATTTCAGTATTTCTTTTTTATTGGACGTGTTAAGTGTGTCGTTTTTTTTTTAACCCTCAATCATTAGCTACATTTTATTTATTTATTTATATATTTATTTTGGTGTACTTTTTTCAGCTTGTTTATTATTTCCACTTCTTTTACTATTGTAACGTTCCTTGATTATTTTTTGTTTCATTGATCAAGTTGTGGTGGACTCTGTTCAAAGACAAGTTTGTCCTTGATTGAGTTTATTGGACTGAGAACTTATGTTTGCTTCATTATTTTTTCCAGGTTGGAAGAATCAAGTTCTCAGTTGAGTTCTCTTATCCAGAAAACCAATAAGCTTAAAAGAACAGAGGTGCTGTACAAAAAGAAATGTGCTGACCTTCAATTGGCTGAATCTGAGGTACTGATCTGTCTGTAATGCTATGGGGAAGGTGATATTAGGAATCAAATATTGTTTGGTGTGCATGTGTTGGAACTATGAACTAATTTCTAAATCAACATTTCATCATATATGAGCCTCGTACTCATTACTGTCTTATTTGGGGAGTAGTCCATATGACATGTGTCATTTAATAGCCTTATATGGTAAATAACTGCAATCAAACCTAGGATATTAAAATGTTGACATATGGAGCAATTTCTCATCTGGATGAACTATTAGGAGAACAAGAAATTGCATTCTTTCACCCGGTATCGGAAACTGACCGCTGAAATCTAATGTTGTTTGCATCTTTGAGTCACCTGGACTGAAGAAATAAAATAAAAGACAAATGCATTTTTTTTGGATATCAAAGTTCTCACTGTCATTATTATTATTTTTTTGGTTCCATCTTGTGAGAAATTATAAGCATTGGCTTGCTACCTTATTAAAAGAATTTTGCTTTCGGGCTCAAATGGAATGCAACCAAGATCAACCTAAACACTTGACAAAAGAAGAAATCATGGACCAAGCATAATAACTCAATGAGGATGAGGAAAGAATAGGGAGCATTGAATTATTTTCTGTTGCATAGTGAGCATTGAAATGCAATAATTGCACAACCTTCAGTATTTTACACTTAATCCATCCTTCTCAAGTTTTATACCAAATATTATTAACCTCTTCTTGTTAATAATTCACCAATAGATGGGGTATGCTCTCTTCTGGTTATCATCTGATGTCACTGTCAAAAAAGTCTTATGTATACGAATGAGATATCAAATATTTTGTGAACTTCCAGCTTATGCATGCGTAGAATAATTTTGTTTGAAATTTTATATACTCTGAAAGTTAAGGCAGGGTATAAATAATAAATGTAGATAATTCAACAATTTAATTAAATCAACAATAGTAGTGATGATGATTATTCGAACTGACATGCATACTTTGGGGTTGACACGTTGTAAACAACAAACTGATTAACCCAGACCAGAAGAGCAATAGTGGAAGGATGAGAGCTGCTATCCAAACATGAAGAAATAGAAAAAGACTAGACGGAAAGTCCAAAAGGGACCCAAGCTGCCAGTGCCACAATCCATTATTCTTTGCTTTACAGTACACAATGATTTACTAGTTCATATGTACCAAAAAATAATTAATTTATTTGTTCATTTTGTTCTCCCATGTTACGTAATATGTGATTTTGGGATTCAAAAGTTTGAATCTAGGGCAAATGGCACCAATCTCAACGTAGTTTGATTGAAATATTTTAGTAGTTAATACCAAATTTTGTTGTGTCATGGTCACAGGTTTTTATTAGCACCCTAAAAAAAGGAGAAAAGGGAAAGATGTTAATATTACTATACAATTGAAAACTATGTGCTTCAAAGCCATAGTGGCACAATTGGTAATGTTGAGAACAAAGGGGGAGAGGAAAACTGAAGAGGGATAGAAAGTGCCACACATCTCACAAATTTTAGTTCATTGATTCATTATTGAACTTTGTCATTTTTTTCTAAATTGTTTGCAGTGGTTATTGAACTTTGACATTTTTATCTAAATTGTTTGCAGTATAAATGAAGCACTTTTGAAATTCTATTTACTATTTTCTTGCTGGATTTTTTCCTTTGAATTCAGGTTGATCTTCTAGGGGATGAAGTTGATGCACTTTTAAGCCTTCTTGAGAAAATATACATAGCACTTGATCATTACTCTCCAATTTTGCAACATTATCCTGGGGTAAGATGGATTCTGTCTCTTTTTAGTTTTTTACACCTTTCTTTCTTGAAAATTTTAGCTTTGATATTTTACATGCATACTCTTTCTTATTTCTTGCCTCTCTTTTTTGATTGTCTTACCATGCCATGGGGGAAGGTGCGAAGGGGAGGGAAAATACAAGTCTCTTAAAGTCACTGTGCATGACTTGTTCATATGTTGAGGTTTTGCATCGTAGACATTCACATTGTGTAAACAATTAGAACCATTTTTTGTGATCCACCTAGTGGTTCTAGGTCAACAAGTGGAGAGAATTCAACATACTATTCTTGTACATGTATATGTACATGTTTTTATCTTACTGTTTACTTTATTTCCCCACTTAAAGTTTCTAAAAGTTCAACATGTACTACATAGTGATTTGGTAAAATTTTCAAGCACCATCTAATTTTGACTATTTGTTGTGATGATTGGAGGATATAGTTGTGTCGTCAAGTGCAATATGCAATGGTATTCTGCATTGTGCTTGGGGGATTTAAAGAATTTTGAGACTGAAAACCCCCAAATAACATTATGCATCTATCACTATCAATGCCTTGCGTAATTTAATACATTCTCGTATCCCATTAACCAATTGTTTCCAAATGGGAAAAACAGTGTCCATTTATTCAGCCTGTTGTCCTGCTTGGTGCAGATTATTGAGATCCTGAAACTGGTCAGAAGAGAATTAAGTGGAGAATCTACTAAGCCTGTTTGATCATCTTTTGGACGAGGTAATATGTTTGTTGAAGATAAGGATCCCAGACATTGAATACTTACTAATTAAATTTTATGATTTTATGATTTACCTAAATCACATGTGATTGTATTCCGGCCTTACAAATATCGAAGGGGAATTTTTTTTTCAAAGCAATGGTGATACCACATCATCATAGACACATGGTATCCAATTACAGATTGTCATGCACACATAGTTAACCCTACTTTGCTGATGTGGAATTTATTAAATTGTTACTTATATTTGACTAATGCAGTTTGCCCACCCATCCATGTATTGTTTTGTTGTTAGTTGGTGATATCACATGTTAATGATAAAAAAAAGCGTCTAATTAGTACACGTTATCATTAACGTGTTAATGATAACATAGTATATTAAATTTTCTCATAAATATGGTGGTTTTCTCAATAATTTTAGTGGTATATTAAATTTTTACTCATAAATATGGTGGTTTTCTCAATAATTTTAGTATATATAATTACATAACATTGCAAGGTCTTTGAAGTTGAAAATCCCAATACATTTTTCTCAAATTTTTGAATTATTAATGTGCAGTAATACATTTGTCATGATATTATTGGTCATCCCATCTCCCATCTCTTTGCTTTTATGTTCTGAATTTCATTAATACCATCGGTTGATCAATATGGAAAGTATTTTGAATTTCTTTAGTTATGGATGCTTCTTTCCATTTTCTTTGTCTAAGCATCACACTGTTCTTTTATGTTGAACAGAGGCAAGGTCACATTGTTTCCTTTTGAATTCCCGTTGATATCATTGTGGACCAATCAATTGTGTTGGTGAAAACAACCAAGCATGACTACTATTGACACTTTTGTGAGATTGTGCTATAGAAGAGAATCGATGAAAGTGACTACTACAGACACTTTTGTGAGATTGTGCTATATAAGAGAATCGATGAAAGTCCAAATGTCTTTGACAAACTCCGCAAATCCCTCAAGAAAGCTCTGTTTTTTTTGTTGTATAATACATAATTTCCAGATACTTTTGTTTCAAACCAGAGGATACAGTGGTTTATTTCTTTATTATTGTTCTTAATCATAGTATTTAGTTTTCTTATATATATAGGTCTGAAATGTAAATTTGCTTCTACTGCAGTAAATTAGAGAGAGAGAGAGAGAGAGAGAGAGAGAGAGAGTGGGTTTATGCATAGCAATTTGCTTGTAACCCTTTTGTTTCAAGTGTTCATGTGATTATACCTTTTACTTGATTCTCATACCTACTACAGTGTTTGTATTGGGAATAAGATGGCTGTGTTTGAAGTTCTATATATATTGCAACGTCTATTGGGAAGTACAGTAGTTTTTCTTTTCTTATCTTTCTGTTTTTTCTCTCTAAGGAAAATAGTGAGAATGCTCAAACCTGTTTGTTTACTAGGAAAGTGGGCCATGGTAGAATAGAAAGAGATTGAAACCAATTGTGCTTTTGGGAGAATGAAATTCTTTTCCCACCAAATGAAATTCTTTTCCCACCAATTATTTTCAGCAAAATTCAAAACTTCACTTCAGTTGTCAGGAAAAGAAAGTAAAATACAGAAAATCTAGTTTAATGTCTTTATATAAAATTCAAATAGATAATATATATATATATGGGTTAATTACACTTTTCATTCATAGTTTAATTCAAATTTTATTTTAGTTCTTATAGTGTCAAATTGAATAATTTGGACCATGCATTTTAAATTCAGTTTTAATTTGATTTTTCTAACCAAATCTCTATTAAATTTTTTTATGTGTACATTTTAGGAGATTGATAAGTGTTTTAAAATTGTTTACTTTAACCTCCAAATTGAATTGAAGGACTAAACTAAAATTAGATTTATAAACTGTAGGGATCAAATTATCCAATTTGAAAGTATAACAACTTAAAATCAAATTTAAATCAAATTATAAAGATAAAAAATATAATTAACTCATATATTTTTATCTATTTGAAATTTATATGAAGACATTAAACTAGGTTGTCCCATTCTGTTAAAAAAACAAAAACAAATCAATAATTGACGTGGTTGTTGATCAATCCAATTTGAAATCATGTTACTACAATGAGACATGGGCTACTAATCAATCCTAGTAGAAATTAGACAAGGCCGCCCTACATTATTTCTTGGTTTTGACTAATAATATGGAACCATTCACAAGGGCTGCCTTCAATTATGGAAACATGTTTTCAATTACCCATATAAAGAATAGACTAATTAATTCTCACAAAGCCCTTGAAATTCTCATACTGTCACTTTTGAGTGAATTTGATTTGATGCCAATTGGCATGGCACACTAATTGCATCATTATATTATATTTTTTCTTTCTTTTTCAATTATTGTGTGATAATGACTTATTTGTAATATTATATACGAGTAATATAAGATCAATAATTTAAAAGGGGCTGGCTTCCCTTCAGTTCGATCACAGATTTGAAGGTATTGTTGGGTTTGTGGGAGCCCATTATGGGTTTTCTTTCGATAATCCGAATCGTTCAATATGTAGAACTCGTCAAGTACTATATGCCTTTAGTAAAAAAATCATGTTGATCGGATATCGATAGCTATCTCATCGGATCAGATTTCTGTCAACCGTTTATTTTTTTACCGTCCATTTTTTTTATACAAAACTGATTTGATCGCGTAGCTATCGATATCTAATCAGCGTGATTTTTTACAAACATACAGTACTCGACAAGTTTTACATATTGAACGGTTCAGATTATCAAAACGGGATCCGTGGTGGGTTCCCACAGGCTCAACAATATCCTCCAGTCTGATTATGGACTGGAGAGAAGCCCATCCCATTTAAAAAATTGAATTATATAGTTGACTCTTAATAATTGGAATAAAAATTTATTAAGTTATATTTGTAGAATTATATTTTAAAAATGTTTAGTTGAAATTTAAGTCCTTCGTGAGCATAGCACCGACTTGGAAGGGGAGGCCCTTGTTGTGAGCTACACCATGCAGCACACCTTAGTGTGACTAGTGGGATTTGTCTCTGCATATTTTCATTATTCAAATCATTTAATTTGATGGAGTGCATGTGCATGTGATCTATGACTCTTTAATAAATTTGTTCAGTCACATTAATATTGTTTTAATAAAAAAATCATGCAATTGTAAAACATATTTTCTCATAGTTGTTTCCATTTCTTTTGAAAAAGATAAATTTATGTAAGAATGTGCAAATGCACATCAAAGAAATGCCAAAGTCATAGTAACATATAGAATGAAAGCCAAGTTTTCAAAGATTTTTTTTTACTTGCACTGGCCATTTTTAAGCTCAAAATGTTAAACAAAAATGATTTGGACCACTAAACAAAGACCTCTAATGCATCTCTAATTTGTTGTCTCTGCATATTTTCATTATTCAAATCATTTAATTTGATGGAGTGCATGTGCATGTGATCTATGACTCTTTAATAAATTTGTTCAGTCACATTAATATTGTTTTAATAAAAAAATCATGCAATTGTAAAACATATTTTCTCATAGTTGTTTCCATTTTTTTTTGAAAAAGATAAATTTATGTAAGAATGTGCAAATGCACATCAAAGAAATGCCAAAGTCATAGTAACATATAGAATGAAAACCAAGTTTTCAAATATTTTTTTTTTACTTGCACTGGCCATTTTTAAGCTCAAAATGTTAAATGGCCTAACTTAAATTTTTAGTAACACACAATTTATTATGTCCATATAAGACAAAAAATGAATGTTCCTTCTACTTTTTCAAGCTATACTTAAATAGGTTAAGTGATTAACGAATTATCCAATATAGAAAGACAAGTAATCAATGGACAATGGTGTGCTATAACTATTTTCAAAGAAGGACAAAAAATAACAAATAAGTTGATTAATTTTATACTCTTTCACTATAAATTAAAAGAACAAAATTACAAGGATAAAAAAAAATATCACAACCAACCACATGCTGGGATTGTGAATTTTTAATATCTGTTCTATAAAAAAATTAAATTTAATAATTATACAGAACTAGACGAAAAGGATAATGAGTTAGTTTCTCACACAATAACAAAGTTTAAGCACAACTACAAATTATGTCACCATTTTGAATCACCGCCTATGTGAATATTCGGTAATTAGTTCTTCATTTGAAAATAATAATTGAAGAAATATTAAACATGAATAATACTTTACTATATCCTAATAATATAAGATGATAGAAAAACAGTTGATAGATAACATTGCTCTAAATTATATTCTACAAATGATTAGAATACCGCATTGTCAATAATTCTTCATCTATTTTGAATTTATCTTTACAACTCAAATCTCAAAATTTTTTGTTTTTGTTTTTGTTTCTATTTTTAACTTTGTTTAGTAACAACTTGTCAATTGGCTTGTTTTATGAGTTTTGTTTGTAGTATTTAAATGAATTCTAAGTCCCAAAGTACAAATGAAATTAAAACTAGATCAAAGTTTAAACAAATTCACCAAAGATAAAAGTCGTTTTAATTTTTTTTTTCTTTTTCAAATTCAATCATTTTCTTAAAAACTTTTAGGGCCTTGTTTAAAAGCACCTTAAAAAAAAAAAGAAATGAAAAAACTCACTTAAAACAAAAACCAAAGAAACAAGACAAGTTTGTTTGCAATAGATAGAAAAATTCACTCCAAATCAATAGAGATACTTTTGTGTTTTTAGATCACCAAACAAAACTTGTTTATTTCACTAGAAAATTAAAATTTCAAGTCGTCTTGTCCTTCTAATATTATAAGAAAAGTAACTCATCATTAAATTTAAAAAAAAAAATTATATTATTTGATTTTTTTAAACCATCAATCACTGATTATAAAGTCAGAATTTCCAGTGATCTTGTCTGTCCAATGTTCTAAAAACAAAAAACTTGCCATTCATTTAATCTTTTTTAATGAATATAATGTTGTACTTTAGTTTATTTCATTTGATTATTATTTATTTATTTTTTTGTTACCAACAATAAAGGGGTAAATCATTGGGTACGGAAGAGGAAGAAGACAAAGGGTTGTCTTTCATAATGATAAAAACAACAGGGGTAATTATGGAATTCTGCAAGAATAATTGGACAGTGCTGATTATAATGGAGACACAGGCATGTGACCCATCTCTCTCTCTCAATGAAGTTCATCTCTGGCATCCTCCACCACCTTCCATCTCACAGCCCGATAATTACAAAATAATTTAAAAATATAAACGTGATATTATATAATATTGTGATTAATAAAAAATATAAATAGATAAGATATTATATTAGATAATTGAAGAATATAAAAGAATGTATTAAATAATAATTAATTAAAAAATATAAACACATAATACTTCGAATATTTTATAATTTTCCCTCGCAACCAACCAACTAAAAATGGGGTTTACACTTTGCCCACTATAATTTTATAAAACTTATATTTTGTCCTTTGTATATTTTGGACCATATAATTTGGTAAAAGTTACCATTGTACCTTGTAAAGTAAAAATGTGTATACTTTCCACCTTACAATTTTGTAAAAATTGCTTTTTTACATTTTTATTCTTCCCTACAATTGCTAATAATCTTTAAACATTAAGAATGCAAACTATAATTTGTATAAAATTACAAGCTATATATTGAAAATTTATTTTAGGATAATGGCACTTTGGAGTTATTTGATGCTATTTATTTTAAGTTAAAATTTAATAATTAAAAAACAAAAACAAAAATGCCTCTTTGTTTCAGTTTCTAAGTACTTATTTTTTTCAACTTATTTAAATTATTTTTATTTTATAAATTATGCTCTAAATAGTTTGGTATAAATTTTCAAAATAAAATAAAAAATATAAACTACACTAAACAACTCTTTCGTTGTCTTATAGTTTTACAAAATTTTCACTTCACCCTTTTAAGTAGGAAGGTAAGAAAAATTAAAAAAAAAATTGACCAAACCAGTTGGATTGAATCAAATTGGCTATATTTGGTCGATTTTTTAATATGAATCGGACGATGTGGTTTTTAAAATTAATTTTTCCTATTTTCAATTTGGTAACCAATTTAGACATCTTGTGCGCTGAATTAAATTAAAATCGACTGAAAGTTTTGCATATTAAATATATAATGAAATTAGTTAAGTATAAAATTCAGTTGATTCACTTAATTATTTATTTTTTCTTAAATATTTAAAGTTTGACAATAGACATTAGCAATGTGATAAGTTATTAGTGTGCTACTCATATGTGTTTGAGATAAGTTTTGCTACTATTATGCTTATATAGTTATATCAATGTTTATGTCTTTTTCAATTTTTTTATTTTAACTCTACTTGATAGACTTGTTGTTTATTCTTATGGAATGATGCTTTTAAATTGTAGTTTTGCTTTTTCAGATTATATTTTTGTTTTTGATTCTATTTTAGTAAAAGCTTAAAAATTTAGTATTTATTAATTCTTTTATTTGTATTTTTGTGAATAGTTGAATTGGATATTGAAGTAATATACAAATGGCTAATTCAATAATTTTATATAAATTATTTATCATATTATAAATTTAAGGAATAACTTAAATTTGAAAGGTTGTAAATCAAAAGTTGCATAGCATTTGAATCGGTATGGTTTAGTAAAAAATTCAATTTATGTCGGTTCTCAATATAATATAATTGACATTATTAATTCAATATAAAATTTTACTTAAATAACTACTCAATATAAAATTTTACTTAAATATCTACCACAAATTACATTCCTACCGGTAAGATAAAAGTTTTACTTTACACTTCATAATTGTAAGAAAGTTATGCTTTGCAACTTGTAAAATAAGGTGTACTTTTTTTTTTTTAATTCTCAAATAAGGTGTACTTTGCACCCTACAATTTTACAAAGGTTGCACTTTTCACATTCTAAATTTTCACTATATTTTCCAATAGTTTCTAAGAATTGAGAGTGGAAAGTGCAATTTCTACAAAATTATAGAATACAAAGTAAAATATTTTATTTAACAAGGGGTAAAATTTAATTTTCATAAATTTACATAATGTAAAGTGCCATTTTCATTTTACAAGAGTAAAGTGAAACATCAACCAAACTGTAAGAGCATCTCCAACCCATCCTCCATATTCCATATCTTCAAATATGGAAGATCCTCTCCCAAAAACAACTCCAATCCATCCTCAATATCCTCCTCGATTTGGGAGGATGATGAATTGATCCTCCAAATATAGAGGGAGGATGAAAAAATAGAGGAGACTCTAAAACACTATTCACTCTATATTTCTTAATTATATTCGAAATAACTTTTAATGTGTAAATTTAATTTTTATAAAAATGGCATCAATAAAAAGTGTAAAATCATACCTTTAAAATGAGTATAATATTAAATATGTTTTACAAAAATTTTAAAATTAAATATTTATTAATGAACAAAAATTACTTTTTGATTGGAGTTTGAATGAAGGAAATGAAAGTTTGTGGTTGGAGTTTGAATGAATAGTGACCTCCTCTATATTTACTTTTTAAATAAAAAATACTATTTCCATCCTCTTGAGAAGATGATGTGGTTGGAGATGCTTTAAGAAGCAAAGTGCCCTAAACACTATAAAATATTGAAATATAATATTTTTTTTTTTAAAAAAGAGATAATTATTCATCCCTTAGGTTTAAAAAAATATAATAAAATGATAAATTTAACATAATTATATTAATATTATTTTTAAAAAATTAAATGTAAATAGTTTGTAAATACAAATACAAACAAATATAAAATACACATTTCAATTATGATAATTTTTTTATTGCCTAAATTAAAAAATTATGAGAATTTATTATAATCATGTCAATTTTTTATATTTAAATAATATTTTTGAATTTGAATTTGTATAAAGAAATTAGCTGTATCTTCAGCAGTTACAACAACTGCTACTATGCCATAAAGTGGATGATGCAGATATGAGTATGGCAGATTCTTAGCTCTTTTCTCAGGAAACAAACAATAGTCGTTTCAAGCTGAACCCATTTTCTGATTTCTCTCAAAACAATCAGAAAACTCCAATTTCCAGAACCACCCTTTTCTCCAGCTCAACCCATTTTTGATTTCTCTCAAAATACTCAGAAAACTCCAATTTCCAGAACCACCCTTTCTCTTTGTATTTTCTTTGGGGACTTTCAATCTCATTGGTGAGGGAGGAAAGTTGTATATTCTTGCATCAGCACACTCCATTGCCCTTTTTGTTTCCCATTTTGCCCTTTGTTCTTGGGGTCAGATCTGCAATTCAGTGGTGGGGTTTGTTGGTTGGAGATGGAGGGTGTTTGAAGAAAGTCCTGTGTGGGGTTTTATCCTTCTGTGTTCATTGCTCTTGTGGGGTACAATTAAAGGAAAATCAAGAGCCCCAGATGTGTTTAAAGAAGGTAACTTAAGGCTTATTCTAGAATTTGAATTTGTGTTGTTCAATGCAAATTTGTGCTTGTTGAGTTTGTTATAATACAAGCCTTTTCTTGATTTTCTTGGACTGAATAGTTGTTAATGTGATTCAAGAACAAGTTATAATTTTCACCCTCCTATGCTTCTGTGTTCTTCAACAATCTTTATTGGGTGCATTTTAAGCTTGTGTTATAGTCCTTTTTCTTGAAGTAAAAAAGGGGGACAAAAAAGAAAACAACCCTAGTTTCTTGACAAAGTGATAGATGAGGAAGGTCCAAGGGATGGAGGTTTTGGGCCTACTCTTTCTGGTGATGATCCCTGTGTTTGTTAGAACTGGAAAAGCTGAGACAAACACTTTTCTGATAAATTGTGGCACAAATTCAAGTGTCAATGTGGATGATAGGAGATGGGTTGGTGACTTGGCCCCTGATAGCAATCTAACTGTCAGTTCTGGTATTGTGGCCACCAATTCCACCTTTAATGGAGATTCAATCTATGCGCCGCTCTATAGAACTGCCCGGTTTTTTACTAATAGTCTCAATTACACATTTAAAGTGGCCCGTGAGAGTTACTTTCTTAGGCTTCATTTTTATCCCCTTTCCTTTCAAGATTATGATGTAAATCAGTCTTCGTTTTCTGTTGTGGCAAATGGGTTGAAATTGGTTTCAAATTTCAAAGTCCCAAGTGAGATTTCACACTCAAGCTCATACTTGCAGAGTTCAGGGACCAATTCAAGTTCATTTGTTTTGATCAAAGAGTACTTCTTTGATGTTGATACGGATGTTTTTGTGATTGAGTTCATCCCGGCTAAAGGCTCCTTTGGATTTGTGAGTGCCATAGAAATTGTCCCCGTTGTAGACAACGTGTTTGTCGACTCAGTAAACAAAGTAGGTGGTGGTGCAAACATTTATCTGAATTTGAGCAAACGAGGGATTGAAACCATGTATAGGTTAAACGTGGGTGGTTCTGAGATTAAATCAAGTGATGATGAACTTTGGAGAACGTGGGGGGTGGATTCTGGCTACATGTTGACAGCAGATGCCGGGTCAGAAACTACAAACAGTTCTACCATTACTTTTACTTCTGCTAATGAGACCTCAGTGGCTCCTCTTCTAGTGTATGAAACAGCTAGAACTATGTCGAACGCTCAAGTCTTGGAGAAGAGGTTCAACATGTCATGGAAATTTGAAGTGGATCCAGATTTTGATTATTTGATCCGATTACATTTCTGTGAGCTGGATGTTGATAAGGCGAACCAAAGGATTTTCAGAATCTATATAAACAATCAGACTGCAGCGGACCGTTTCGATGTTTTTTCGAAAGCAGGAGGGAAGAATACACCGTATCATCAGGATTATTTCGATGTGTTGTCCCCGAAAATCAACACCCTATGGATACAACTGGGGCCTGACACGGCCGGTGGTGCTTCAGTTACTGATGCTTTCTTGAATGGGTTGGAGATTTTCAAGCTGAGCCGTAATGGGAATCTTGCCCGCATAGAGATACATAATCCAGAAGGAAACAAAATGTCAATGAGTCAAATCCTTTTGGCTGGAATTGGAGCAGGTATAGCTTCTATTGCTATTTTTGTAGCTTTATTTATGTTAATCTTTTGTTTTTGCAAAAGGCGAAGAAATAAACCGGGTGATACGAAAAACAACTCTCCGGGATGGTGGCCATTGTTTCTTCATGGGGCTGTTGTTAATAGTACTGCTAATTGCAAGGGATCATCGGGAAGTCAGAACCCAGTTGGGTCTGTGGCCTCTGCTAGAGTTGGTCGTTGGTTCACACTAGCGGAGATCAAAGCAGCAACTGATAATTTTGACGATAGTTTAGTGGTTGGAGTAGGGGGATTTGGCAAGGTGTACAAAGGGGAGATTGAAGACGGCACGCTTGTGGCTATTAAGAGGGCCAACCCACAATCTGAGCAGGGCCTGGCAGAATTCGAAACAGAGATTGAGATGCTTTCAAGGCTCAGACATCGACATCTCGTCTCCATGATTGGGTTCTGCGAAGAACAGAATGAAATGATCTTGGTATACGAGTACATGTCAAATGGGACGCTTAGAAGTCATCTCTTTGGTAGTGACCTCCCTCCGTTATCTTGGAAGCAACGATTGGAAGTTTGCATTGGTGCTGCGCGGGGATTACATTACCTTCACACGGGATCAGATCAGGGAATCATCCACAGGGATGTTAAGACAACTAATATACTATTGGATGAGAATTTCGTTGCGAAAGTGGCTGATTTTGGATTGTCAAAAAATGGCCCGGCTTTGGAACATACCCATGTTAGCACCGCAGTCAAAGGAAGCTTCGGATATCTTGATCCTGAATATTTCAGACGACAGCAGTTGACTGAGAAATCGGATGTTTACTCATTTGGTGTAGTGTTGCTCGAAGTTGTTTGTGCACGAGCTGTTATAAATCCAAGCTTGCCAAAAGATCAGATCAATCTCGCAGAATGGGCAATGCGGTGGCAAAGACAGAGATCACTGGAAACCATTATTGACCCACATCTGAAAAGGAAATATTCTTCGGAATCATTGAAGAAATTTGGGGAGATTGCTGAAAAGTGTCTTGCAGATGAGGGTAAGAGCCGACCAACAATGGGTGAAGTTTTGTGGCACTTGGAGTATGTCTTACAAATTCATCAAGCTTGGTTATGCGCCAATGATGGAGAAAACTTCTCTAATAGTCAGGTTATGGTGACTATTGAGGAAAAAGAAGCTGAGGAGGTACAAGAAGCTGCAACTGTCAATGACACGACCGCTTTAGCCCCAAAACAGAAAGATGACGAAGAATCTGCCGGAAACTGCTGAATCAGATGCTGTGGTTGTTGGATTCGATGAGTTTTCCCAGCTGGTAAACCCGCAGGGAACGTGAGAACTAGATTCTTTTTTCTTTTTCTTTTTTTTTGGGTACATTGGAAAATAAGAACTAGATTCTTGATACTGTAGTCAATACCCATGTTGTTATAGGCCTGAAATTTCGTCGTATAATATCCATATCATGTGATTACCCTATTAGAGAGGGGAAGAGAGTATGTAAATCATGATGATATCTGAAATACTACATGCAGCCAAGGTTTGTATTTATTTGGTTTGTGGTTTTGTATATTTTGGAGGATCTTTCCCACTGGTGGGCTCATTAATATTCTTTTATTCTTGTATGTGTTTTGTTGTTTTTAGAGCAATTTCTCTCAAATGACGTCTTTGTTTGAGGGTAATGTGTATGTTCATTGGTTCCCTATGTTTATTACTTTGCTCCATCATCTTTGTCCATTTGTTTTTATTTTGGTGCCAAATTTATTACTTTTCCATTTAGCAGCAATTTTGAAGCTGTCAATGTGAATCTCTTTTGGGTCCAAATGCTTATGGTCTGCAAGCAGTTACAAGAATTGTTCAGTAGAGAATTTCTTCTGCTGTTTAAGTTCTAAGAGATCAAGTTAGATAGTGTTGATGAAAAGTTCAACTGAATGTTTTGAGTTCTAAACAGGCTCATTTTTTGAATTTTCTATATCTGCCCTTGGGTTATCATCAATCTGGCATCCCTATGTATAGTGTGTATGGTCAAAATGATTTCACTGAATGGATGCTTACCCTTCATTTGTTTGGGAGGCAAATATTTTCATATTTTCTAAGATTTGGTACAATAAAAACAAAAGCAAAAAAAATAAATTTTTGTGGTCTACTAAAAATAAGCCTATTTAGACAGGAAATATTTTTCACCTTTTAAAGGCCAAAAATGTTTTTTTGGATTAAAGTCGTATCAATGTCTCCATACTCTCACCTCCACCACCACCAAACTTCCATCACCACAGCCACCATCACCAGTGGCAGAGCCAGAAAACTAAATCAGAATGTGCACTTATTGATTACAACTTTAATTTTTGTTTTCCATAACCAACAATAAAAAGATAATAATTTTTGAATTAATATTAAGTACAAAAACTTAAATAAATTATTACAAAAGTATTTCACATAAAATTTTACAATTAATTTCGAGTAAAATCGAAAAGAAGGTATTACGTGTAACTAGTGTATTACGGACAATGTAAAAAAGTCATATATTTAAGTTTTAATATAAATTATATAATGGTAAGATAAATCAAATTTTTACAAAATTTGAGTAAAAATTTCATATAATAGTGATATCACGTTATTATTGACATATAATATCACCAACCAATAGTAAAACAACATATGAAGAGTGAACTCTACATGCACATATAATTAATACTCTAGTAATTTTTACATATATAGTGAGATTAATTATATTTGCATATCAATAATGATGGATACTACCGTTATGTTGACATTTTTTCACAAAATTTTCGTACATAAAAATATAATTTGTTGTAGTCACTTCATTTTCAATAAAACAATCACTGTTGTTTTTATAAATTTAAAAATGCCCTTGACATATTATTCTAAATATTATTTTTATTTAAAATTTTATTATATACATATGTGAAAAAAAATAATAAAAACAATAAAAATAATAATCCAGGGGCATGTGACCCCCCTAGTCACATGTGGCTCAGCTACTAACCATCACTAACATTGCTGTGACCACCTCACCACCACCTTCGTCCTCCCACCATCACTACCACTAAACATACAAAAAACAAAAAAAATCAAAAATTTTTATCTACGGCCACCTCACCACTGCCTTTGTCCTCTCACTACCACTACCAAAAAAAAAAATAAAAAAAAATCAAAAAAAAATTCTGAAAAAAAATTTCGTAGAAAATATTCTGTTCAAACAAATGGAGAGTTGATGATGAGTTTCCAGATCAAAATGATTTGATTTTTCTATGTTTGCTTAAGCTGCCTTTTCATAAATTTGGGTAGGGATTTAGAAATAGATAGGGAAGAGAAAAAAGTGTGTGAAATATGGTTATATTTCATTCATATTTCATTTATCTTTTCTCTTTTTCTTCCAAATTGCTACTCAAATTCATAAACCAAATACAGTCTTAAGGATTAGTTGATGGGATTTGCTTGTATATTTGGATTAATTACCTCTTAACGTCATGTTTGTTTGGGATCAAGACATATTGTAATATATTAGACTGCTAATCCTATGATCCTAGACTATTAGATTGGAAAGAATGTGTATCCTATATTTGTTTAGTCATGAGATTAGATGTTAGGAAATGACTAATTTATTGAATCCTATGTTTGTTTGAGATATTACAAAGAATGATCAATGCTCAAAATACTATTTTGCCCTTTTGTATTGTTTACTAATTAATAACAATACTAAATTTAATTTATATATTCTATTTTATTTATTGGCTAGAACTTTTAAAAAATTAAATAAATAGAATATCAATAAAAATTAAATAAATTTATTTATGTTTTAGTTGAGGTTTTTAAATTTAATTTAATTTTACTTGGTACAATACATAATAAAATCAAACATTTTGTCAATATAATAGTGAAAAAAAAATTGAATCTTTATCCCACCGTTTAAAAATATTTTAAATTTTTATCCCAGCATTGAAAAAAAAAATTGAAAAAAAATTAAGATAAATATGCTTGGGGAACAAAAGTGACATTTTACAAGTTTATCCATGGAATTATTATCTCACAATTTGTATTCCATCTTCTCTGGGACACAACAATCCCAATATGAAGGATATGTAGTTTGGTTAGACTCGTAATCTGGCTTACAAATTTTTAACCAAATAATGGACGACTCCATAAAATGAACATGAAGTTCAATCCTCCCTCCAATCCCTACAAATAAACACCTCCAAAGGGTATATCGCTCTCTATATAATAATTAGGGGTGCTCGCGATTCGATTTTGGACGGTTCGGTTTGCAATTTGAACCTGCCTGCATATGTGTGGTTTAAAAAAAATTGAACTCGCAATCGCTCGCAGTGTGGGCTCGGTTTGTGCGGATAGGGTTCGCGGATGTGCAGGCGGTTGTAGGCAATTGCAGATTGGACTTTTTTCTTTAAAAATTTATTTTTGGGATTTTTTTTTCGTTTTGTAAATATTTATTTTGGGTAATTTTCTTCCCATTTTCTAAAATGTTTGACATTAATAATTAATGAATTAAAACTTATAAAATTAAAAATACAACAAAATCAATTCCTAACACAAACATATCATTCAAAATTATAAACTTTTAAATAAAATCATTAAGTAACACAAGCACATCTTTCAAAATTCTAAACTAAATCATCAAAATCATGCACTACCAAAAAGTAATTCTTCATTAACTTTTACATTCATTCAAAATGTAATAATAAAATAACAATAAATTGTTGGCAAACTTCATCCAATTCAAACTCATTAAATAAAGTAAAAACATTTGCAAACTCGCAAACTCCATCTAGGATAGGATGAATGAAATTAACGATCCAGGTTGTTAAAAAAAATTATATTAAAAAAAAAATTAAGTGCGAACGGGTTCTTGTGGTTGCGGATGAAATCCGCAACTTGCAATAATACTATATTTCAGACCGCTTCTGCTCGTATTATATTTGTGAAACCGTTCATTTGTATAAGGATCGATTCAAATAACCCTATGCCCAGCCTTAATAATAAGGAAATTTGGGGAGGTTTGGATTGGAGGGGTAAAAGATCAAAATATTAACAAACTGTGATTATTATTAATTTTTGTTGATAAATAAATAATAAAAAAATGAAAAATAATCATTTTAAACAAATATGAATAAGGATGGGCTTATGCTAATCTCTGTCCTAATCCTTGGTATGTCATCCGGTAAGATTTTTTTGTATAATAATGATATATATAAAAAGAAATTATGAGTAATTATTAATATGTTTGGCTATTTTTTCGTTTTAACTCTTAATTTTTTTTTCTTCTCGCTTTAACCCTTTCATGTTTCAATATTAATTGCAAATCCTAATAAAATATAGGGAGCAGCTTGCCTCCAATCTTTAATCGGACTGGACGGTATTGTTCGGCCCGTGAAGGCCCACTACGGGTCCATTTTGATAATCTGAACTGTTTAATGTGTAGAACTCGTCGAGTACTATATGTTTATAAAAAATCACATTGATTGGATATCGATAACTATCTCATCTTATCAGTTTTTTGTCAACTGTTAATTTGTTCACCGTCCATTTTTTTTTTTTTATATATATATATAAAACTGATTTGATCACATAGCTATCGATATCCGATCAACGTGATTTTTCATAAATATATAGTACTCAACTAGTTTTACACATTGACGGTTCAGATTATCAAAACGATAATAGTGATGGCCCCCACGAGTCGAATAGCACTGTCCAGTTCAATTAAGGACGGGAGGCAAGCTGATTCATAAAATATATACACAAAATATTATTGTGTTAATTCATATAAAAAGTAAAAAAAAAGAAAAGTGTATCGTGTGATACATAATTTCATTAATTGTAAACTTCAAAATAAAATGAAATAAGAGAAACCAGCATTACACAATTTTTAATTTTTAATTTTTAATTTTTTTTATAATTGCTTTGTTTATTTATTTATGTTTTTTTGAATGATAGTTATTCAAAACAAAAAATAAAAAAAATAAAAAAAATTGTGTTTTTTTATACCAAACAATTGTTTTTAAAAGGGAAAAGTAAATTTAAAAGGAAACAACTCAAGATAATTGTACTTTCTTGGATGGACAACTGCCACTTGTTTTGACTTACATTTTTATGAAAATGTAATTATTTTGAGTTGTTTCTATTTTTAAATATAATTTTTTAAGTAAATTTATTGTGAAACAAATAATTCTTTATTCTTAGAAAAATTTGAAAATAAATAATTGGGTTCAATTAGCCAGAATATTTTTCAAATTACTAGTAGAAGATTAAGGTTTGAAATTTAGCAAGCCATCCCTCTTATATATCTATACTATCTATACTATATATATAATAGAATATAGTGGTGTTTCCAAAAGCCTTCAAAATGCCATTCTAAAATCCCCATAATTTTAAAAAATACGTGGCAGCTCTCTTTTTAGTTTATAGCTCTTTTCCTCCACTCTCAAAGACTTTCGGAATGATAAAAACTCTTAACAAAACCTAAAAAAAATTCAAGACTTTCACTCTCTCACAACTCCTACAATAGATACATATCCCTCTCCCACGTTACTCTCCCACCTCAAACAAATCTAAAAACAAAAAACACCCATCTATCCATATCCTATAA